ATCATTTGTTGGTTGAGTGCTAGATTTTGTCCCATATATGCATTTGCTCTTTTTTGTTTTCAATTCTGTAAGGTTTTAATAAACGTTATTACTCCAAGGAAGTGCTCAAAAGTTGCATTTACTAAAAGAGCACACTGAAATGGTTGTTTAGGATATCAGTGTCTGTTGATGTGGAAAATTCAGGCTCATACTGAAACAGGATTATCCACCATGAAGCACAAAGGAAAGTGTGGTTGAAAATGAAAACAACTCCACTAACTGACGAAGTATTGTTGCAAAACAGCCTAATTCATCCTCAGAAAATAAAGACCTTCACAGAGACCTGGCAGTTGGAGGGATTGTTATTGATTTGTTCACAGTGTGGAGCAGACTCCTCCAAGTTGGAAGAACTGCAAGAAGACCAGTAAAAACAAAACCAAACAGTTGCTGGTACTATGAAGAAAACAAAACGGTTGTTCTTGACAAGAAAATACAAAGACAAGGAGTAGAGTGCTGAAGATTGGAAAAAGGTAATTTTTATTGATGAAACTCAGTTTATTATCCAAGCCTGTGCCAAGCACTTACTAAGTTCCTACCATGTTCCGCACACTGTGCTAAGTTACGCTGGGGATACAAAGAAAGGTGGAAACCAGTCTCTGCTCTCAAAAAGCTCACAGTCTGATAGAGGAGACAATGTGCAAACAACTATGTGCAAGTAAGATAAAGACAAGATTAATCAGGGATAGTTTCAGAGGGAAGGCACTAAGGTTAAGAGATAGGACAGGCTTCTTGAAGAAGGTGGGGTGTTGGGGCTTGAAGGGAGCAAGGGAAGCCAGAAAGCAGAGATGAGAAGGATGAAAGTTTTAGGAATGGAGAACAGTCAAGGAAAATTTCTGAAGTGAGGAGGTAGAGGCCAATATCACTGCAAAGGACAGGGAGAAAGGGGCCAGGTCATGAAGGACTTTGAAAGCCAGACCAAGCATTTTATTGCTGATTCTTATCAGATTATAAAACATCCTCTCAAATGTTTTTTGGGGGGATTAAAAAATAGCACTGGCACGATTTCCAGGGAAGACCTTTTCTCCCTTAAGAGTTAAACATCTGCCTACTCAGAAGTGTGCGCTGTTTTTCTGGCGTGTTTATTGTGAGCCATTTACCTGGGCAGCTAGGTAGTACAGTAGATAGAGTGTGGAGCCTACAGTCAGGAAGACTCATCTTCCCTGAGTTCAAATCTGGCCTGATACTTACTAGCTCTGTGACCCTGGGCAAGTCACATAACCCTGTTTGCCTTAGTTTCCTCATCTGCAAAATGAACCAGAGAAGGGAATGCAAACCACTCCAGTATCTTTGCCAAGAAAACCCCAAATGGGGTCATGAAAAGTCAGACATGAGTGAATAACAACAGTTTGCCAAAAAGTCTAAGAATTACCCATAATCATTCACTATCAGAAAACCAACCAAAGAGAGGTAACTGGAAATCTTGTTCCTTCTGAGGGAATGATGAACTCTGATAAACATATTTATATACAGAGAAGCAGAAGTTTAAAAAGACCTAAAGAGATCTAGTATACTATAATATGACTTTGCACCAAACTACATGTCATGAAAAGTTAAGAAAATGAACCAAGAGATGGCAATAAACATGATCAAGTAGCCTGAGAACTGATCTGATTTAAACTCTGAAGAAAACTTGTGGGCTGTAATCAAGACTAGACTTGAGAATATGACTATTCATCAACAGTACACTTAATATCCAATGTGACAAAAGTGTGGCTTTATGATGAAGAATTAAATAATATGTGTCAAAATCTTGTGAACTCTGTGACAAATTGTATAAAAAAGTGATTGTTGCAAAAGGAGGATATTTTGCATATGACAAATTTTTTAAAGATGTAAAAATTTGCAAGTCATTTTTTATTAGTTTCCATTTCGTAGAAAACTGACAAACAAAGTGATTGGCTGAAGGTCAAATAGCAAATCAACAACAGAAATAGAAGGGAGATCTCATAACAGAATCTACAGCTTTTGTAGCTGCCTTGGAGCAGAAAGGCATGAACTTGATGGAAGAGCAACAAAGCTACCATGTAGGATAGCCCAGACATGTAAGAGGGACTTAATCCACATGAGCATTCATTCCTCAAAAGTTTTAAGATGTGTCAATAAATTTAATTATTTTATTTTGTCCCAAGTAATCTGCACACCTGAGTATGTGCCTAAGTCTAGATATAAAGGTTAATAGCCAGTGGTATATTTTTTGTCAAAATGAATATGGACACTTTGACCTATGGAACAGAATTTTTATCTAGATCTGGGCTTCCTGCTGAGTGCACTCTGGGTACTTGATAAATACTTACTGACTGCTGGAGCTTCATTCCATGGATATTTTATTTAGTGTGAAGCATAATCAAATGTCTTTAACAACTATCTGTTCCCCTGTAAGTTCCCGAGATCAGACAAATTCTTAATGTTTCAGGGGAAAATAATATAGCTTGCTATAGAACTTGGAGAAACGAAAAGCAAAAACTTGAGGATATAAAACACCATGCTTACTTTTTTTTTTAAAAGCAGACAAGAGTTTATTTGCAAAAGTGTAATGTTATGAGATACAGTATAACTAATGAAAATCAACCAATTTCATCATATCTTTAATGTATTATTCAAATGCAATGCATTGTAGTTTAAAGCCCTGTGACATTAGTTCTAATATTATAGTAACAACTAACATTTCAGTTAATAAATAACTGTGAATATAGCCATATGTTCAGTTTATTTTCCTTAGTTTATCATGAATTACAATTTCATTCTGACTTCAGTCATAAAAGTGATAAATACTTGTTTATACATTTTCATGCATTGCTTGCTTATTTAATTAATCCCGAAAAGCTTCTAAACACATATCATGGTGAGTTACACAAATTAGGTATATTTTCATCCTGCTGACTTGACACCATTTATAATAAAAGATTAAGTCTAACTTTGCTTAAATTTGATGTACATTGCCAACACTGCATAGTTTATAATATTTGATGTATTTTCTTCAAAAGCCCCAAACACTGGCAAAGTAGAACTGCTAAATTTTTGATCTAGCACAAAATTTCTGTCAATTTTTTCAAACAAATATGGGTTTCAAAAGTCAGTTCCATTTTCATCAACTGAGAGGTAGCACATACCACCTCTGAGAAGAAAGGTTGTCCAAAAGAAAATGAGGAACATTGGATAATAGCAAGTCAAATCCAATGGACATTTGGCTACTAATATAGCAGTTGTTAATGTTGTTAGTGTTGATAATGAGTATTTACAACAATAAACTGGTAGGTATAGAGCATCTGCCTCGGTGGTCAAGGTTAGGGACATAGCAAAGGTGGTCTTGTCTGATGGCACTCCTAGTCCTATGTTAGATGGAGGTGACAGATTGTTCAATTTTGAGTGTGGCGATCAGTGTTGGGAAAATGGTTATTTAGAGCTGAGTGGGAATAGTAAGAGAGATGGCATTCATACTGTCCATTTTGTTAAGCTCCTGTCTCACGTTGATCTGTTTCCTACCCTATAAACACAATATCTGGGCAATTACAAACAATTCCTACTCCCATCTATTTTACTTCTGTATGGTGGGAAATGTGAAGGAACTGAAAGGATGCAGCTTAGCTATTAAGTGGGACAGAGCCTCACAAAAACTCTTTACAACCTAAACCCTTCTAATCTATGACTGCTTTCCCTTAGCAGGGACTGGACCATTGGGCCTTTCCTATAACTTTACAGGGAAAAAGACTGTTTTAATATTTTTCTTTACTCAAAGAGATCCTTCTTGCCTCAGTACTTGACATGTCTTTAAAAGTCAAGGTGTAGAATGAACAGCCACAAACATTGATTAAAATTACATGTACATGATATGTGAAAATACAAGTGGTAGAAGACATATTTGAGATGAAGTGAGTTAAATTAATCTTATAACGCTTTTCCAAAGATAACTGTGTCTTTCTAATAATCTTCTCATCACTAAACTAGTTAGGAAAGACATAATTACTTTCTAGTGAAATGTTTTGGATATGTATATTATGAAATACCATAAATAATAATTTTTGTTGGTTTTTATATTGATTGGATTATGGTCTGTAGAGATCAAACTGTGATCTGTTATGGCAAGAAAAGGGAGTAAGTAAAGTTTATTTTAGCTTTTGAATATAGAACTCCATTTTTGGATTTTCAGGCAATTTACCAATGACATTTTGCCAGTTTTCACAGCCTAAAAAGAAAACTATGACTGTGTGCCTGTATGGAAATGCTCCTTAGCTAGAAAGGTAAAATTAAACTCCAAGCAAATGAGAATCAGTACAAGCAGAGGAGGGAATGCTGGATTTGGAGTCAGAAGACCTAGGTGTGAATCCTGGCTTTTTCATTAAAAAAAAAAAACAAACCCCCCAAAAATAACTGTGATCGTGGGCCTCAGTTTCCTCATCTGAAAAATGAAAGGAACAGACAACACAATCTCTAAAATTCCTTCCAAATTTAAAATCCTGTGACCCTAAGTAACTCACTTTTATTCTACGTTTTATCCCAATATTTCAAATATCTGTTGAAATTCAATCTATGGTGGCCTTGGAACCTATCTATGGAACACATAGTGAAAGGATGTAAGTGATTTGCTCCAGGTTACAGGGCAAAGTGACTGCAGTGATACAAAGCATAGAAATATTGAGTTTTTGGTAGTCCATTATTTAACTACAAGTCAACACTTCGTTTTACTGTAGAGGCTTAGTTAGGACTGACTACCTCTTTGATATCAGGCATGTTAAATGTATTCTCCCTCCCATCCCCTGAGCCCCCAAACCCAAAGCGTGCCTTTGCTGTTTGTAACTTTTGACAAAATAAACAGATCTTCAGTAGAGAGGGTTATTTTACTATTCAGGGATGCTTGGGCTGTCTTTGTGCCTACAGTTCTGTACTTTTCCATTGTATACCCTTAAAGAAAAAGGTTAGGATCATTTTCATGGTCAAGCATAATTCCTTTGTGTTTCTACTAGTTTTTTCCTCTCTGATCTCTCTTCTGTACATCAGTCAGTAGTGCTCTCCTGGGACAGGCACTATGCACTTCATTAATAAAAAGAGATTAAAGGAAAAAGCCTCAGTCTCCTAATACACATGGATAATTTGGTGTCATCCACAAGGCAATAGACCCCTGCTGCAGAGATGTCATTAGAAAGGTACAATTTCATTACTTTTTACTGGCAGAGCCTTGAGTGAAATACAAAATATGTTACCTCATATGCAAAAAGAAAAATTATATCCGAACTCACAACTTATGTATTCATTTGCTTCATGTCTCTAAAATACTAGAATTTAAGAAAGACATTTTATAGTTCTTACATTTGTAATATTTTTCCTTAGTAAGTCCCTTAAAAGCATGCTTTTATGAAATATTGAGCAAAACACATCTATTAAAACAAAGTTATTTTTGTTTCCAAACCTCAAATGAAATGTTTTGAAAACCAAAATCACGCACCATTTTTTTTCTTCTCTGATTTGATGAATGAAGTAGCATAGTTGTATCTCATGCACACAGAAGAGTGTATACAAACATAATGTGGAAGAATATTGCTAAACATGATTGCCATCAGGAAAGTCATTATGATATAAAGTTTTTTTTTTATGGTGAAAGGGGACAGGGAATCTGTTAACTCTGGCTGGTTAACTTAGTTTATCTCTAAACTGACTTATCTACTGATAATTGATAGCTCGGCCTACACTAGGAAAACACAACCACTGATGTTAAGCCCCTTTGACGGTGTAGTATTCATACATTTGGCCTAGCAGCCAAACACAGCCCTCAGGTGACTTTCACACTCGGCTCTATAGAAACCAGTGCCAAGCAAGAAACTTGGAGCTGGAGAAGTGAATTATTGGCCAAGTAGCGCTCTACCCTTGGATGGTGCCTAGAACCTAGGCAGGCACCATCACCAAATGCCACTGGCACTACCCAGACGGCTGCATTGGCTTTACCTTTCTCAGGCAGCCTCGCGGCTTCCCTAGCACCGAAGAGAATCAGGTTTAATAATGGTCCATTATCTCACTGCCACAGACACACAGCTGCCATTAACGCTAAAAAGTACTTCTCAGTTGGAGCTGTGCTTGGGAGAGGGGAGCTCTTGGTTATCAGCTATTTACAAGCTACCCCTTGCAGTGATGAGTTTTTGCTTCACTTCTACTGGGTTTTGTTCACTGAAATTGACATTAGCAGCTCTTTGTTTTAGACTAAAGCCTATACAGTTAAAACTGTATGAACTGGGGTTTCCAGAGAACTCAGTATTGACATAAGGCAAAAGCAAAACAAATAGAAACTATTTCTGTGCATCCTTAAAACAAAGAAATGAGTCCGTAATAAAAATCCATTACATTTACTTCTGTTGGGTTATCCACGACACTTCTAAAAATGAAAGTTAGGTCTTCTAATCATCATTGTATGCAGAACATTCGGATGTTTTCCTTTTCATCTGGTCCCATTTTACTTCCTGAAGCCTCTTCTTTCTCAATTTCCCTTACCCAGTACAAGACATCACATTTGTAATAGCTATTATTCACCAATTGAGAATGAGAAATGAGAGGGACTTTCTTATCATTGAGACTGAGTAGAACTCTTTAACAAGAGAAGTCCGGATCAATTAGTGTTTTTGCCACGGACATGGCTTAGGTAAGCAGAGTTTATCTAGCAATAATAGTCAGAATTAATAGAATGTTTCTGTTATCAAAAATATCTCTTATCGAATGGTTAAATATAGCTAACCAAAGTTAGTGACAAACAAAAACCCCAGATTTTTCCAATAAATTAAAAAGATAAGTATGGTTAAAATTGAGATGACATAAATGAACACACCATGGTTTATTTAAGTTAAATGCACTGAAAACAGATTAACCTTTGTTTCCTTTGATACCAGAATCCACATTTCCTTGATCTTATATTATTAGGTTGTAACATGGGAACATACTGATTCCCATATGAGCCTGGGACTCCTGGTGGGACTAAATTTCAATAGATGAACCTCAAGACTTAGATGTTTGATCAGATGGACATAGAAAACAACATACATATATAGTATTTGAGAATGTCTCAACCTTGGACTTTTTAGATGGACTATTATATCAGAGGGGGGTGACATTTGCTTTGTAAAAGATAGATATGTGTAATATCAGTTTAATAAGAACTATTTGCAATGACTCATCTACTTTTTAAAGCCCCTATTAAACTATTATTTTGCAGGCTTACAGTTTTTTTTTAAAGTGATTGCCTGGTGACATGGATGGGGTGCAGGTGGGAGAACATAAGTAATTCCTCCCTTGAATTTGAATCTGTGCCTTATTGTACATTACCACTGATAAATCTGCAAAGACCGTTTCATGTAGTAAAACAGCCTAATTGGGGGTGACAACAGCCCATCACGTGTCAGAAGAACAATTTGATAAATACATGTCCATAGGCACTTCTCAGGCAAGTCTCAACTGTCAATCTGCACTTTAAACATAGGTACTTTTAGTTCACTATTGACTGCTAATAAATGAGGACAGAAATAAACATTTATGTATATTCAGTTTGGGAGTATACCTTTTAGAATTTGGAATCCACTGCAGGTCTACTTCCCATCTTGGCAGAGAGAAGGAGGGATTTAACATTTAGAGACTAAGGACTCTGACATAAAGGAGCTGATAAATTGCTTCCTCCTTCAAAAACTAGAAGACCTGCATGTGCCTGATTTATAATAAATCTGTTTCTTTAATGGGTGGAAGGAAATCTGCGGGGTCTTCTCTGCTTTCAGTGCCACGTGATAGTCATACTGAAGACAACACTTCATTGGATGATTCTTTCCCCTTCTTTTCATCCCCCCTCTCAACATCAATTGTATGCACTAATCCAGGTTTCAGGATCAAATCGTCGGTTTCTACCTGACTTCTGTTGTCATCCACCTCCATGTAGGTCCCTTTAGTTTGCTGAGAAGTCTTACTGAAGGCCTCCTTCAAACGGCGTTTAAGTTCTATATCAGGACAGAAGACATATTCATAAAGACCACCAGCAAGGACGGCTCCAATGATTGGTCCTACCCAGTAGATCTGCGGAAAGATGGAATAATAGAAAGCTGTTGAAAATTATTATTCCAAAAAAACTAAAAACCATTTGAATGTGAATTTGACTAGATTAGTTAGGGTTTATGTATTAGAGAAAACTGAGCTGCATAGAAAATGTAAGACATTACAATAATTCACCCGAATCCATAGATCTCTGAGTGAATTTCTGAGCAGGAAACAAGAAAGAATTCTCCTTTTTTTTTTTTAAAAACCTCTTTTCAATTTTCTTTTCTTTCTATTGTCTTAGTTCTCTAAAGTCAGAACACTTTTTTCTTGGCTGTATTGAAAACCATACATGTGTTATGAATTCTCCACTTGAACTTGAAATAAATACAAAAGAATTTCCAGGGGTGTTTTTATTCTTCCTTAGAGTTGCCAGTCTTTTACTGGTTTTCTCTGAGGTCATGTTCACAGCACAGACTTGGCAATATTTGGATTTAGCTATAAAGCATCCCACTGAAAATTTACAGAAGGAAATGTGAGAAGAATAACTAGAGAGAGCTCTATTTTTCACCCATGATTTTCCTAAGTTTTGGTGAATTGGTTTTATTTGCAAATGTCACAATATTTTCATTCTTGTTCCTAATCAGAAATTGAATATTCTCAGTGCTTAGCTCTTTAAAAATGCAGTAGCTAGCATTTAGATATCAATTTAAGGTTTTCATAGTACTTTACAAATATTATTTTATGCTGTTGTTATTCTTATTTTAAAGATGAATAAATTGAAGCAGATCAGAGGTTAAATGAGTTGCCCAGCGTCACACAATTAGTAAACATTTGAGTCTGACTTTGAATTCAGGTCTTCCTGGTTCCATATCAGGTGCTCTACTCTATCCACTGCACCACTTAGCTTCCTTTTTAACAATGGCAAACACATTTCCACCATAGTCTGAGTGATGAACAACCTCTGTTTTCATCTGCGATGGGACATAAAAATCAACTTGCCAAAAGTTGAGTGAGATCATCTGTGGGTTGAAATTAAACTTTCTAATGAACTGGAATTTTCCCCTTAGAGAAAACATCTATGATGGACTACTAAGCAATTTTTAGATACTTTTGTCTCTTTCTGAAAAAGAGGTAGTTAAATGGTGTTCACCAGAGCTCAGGAAAAATTCCTTCACACAGCTTTCTCGCTGCAAAATACAAACCAAATTCCAACTTTAAGCTGTGACTGTAGCAAACACAATTGATCAAACTGTGGGCATAGTGCCTGTAAGACTGGGTTCCTTGCCTTGAACACAAAATGAACTGTAAGAAAGTTTATTTTCTTTGTTCTCTTTCAAAGTGGGAAATGAGAACCCTCCCCCAAATGTCTTTGCTCTTTGTTTCTTTGGTAAACACTCATTTGATTAGTAAGACTGATTATGTGGACAACCACTTTCAAAAAGGAGAGCAGAGTCGATTAGCTGAGTACCTAAATACCTGTTTCCTACATTTATGCAAAAGACAGCTTGATTTTGAGAGATAGTTTTATGTTTTTCAAATAAGACATCTATTTGTTTTTAGTTATAGTTTAGATATAGTATCTATCTGTTTTTAGTTATAGTAGATTCTTTTTTAAAATGGATTTAAATATTAGTGATTTTTTTTTCTTTCATGTTTTCACTTTTCCCTTGGAAAAGTTCTCAGGGGAATTTCCAACAAATAATGAATGGGCTTGGACCATAAGTACTAAAGGACAGAGCAAGATACAAAACAGAACAAATTCTTTAAATATGTAACTAAATATGTCTGTGTATATGTTTAAATAATTATGACTACTTTTGCATAATTTTGTCATATACCTCCCTGATATCTATTCAAATTTCTATCCTCTGTATGTAGTGGGACTGATTGCATCAGACACTACAGATTTTAATCTTGCCCGGGATCAGTCTCTAAAATGGCTGCATTACCCTTTGGTTTTTTTTTCCAGACCTGTTGCAAGACTTCACTAAAATAAAACTGATTAAGTTAGAAAACAGAAAACTATGTTGTCTTGAAGCCTTACCGCCATATTAATTATTTAGGCACCAGACTGAACATACTCCTTAATCTCACATAGTTTATATATGTTCATAAATACATATTATATATATAAACTATATTTCCATGATAACAGTTAAATTACATTATATATTTACATGATCTGCTTGCTGTTGGGATGCTTCCAGTTCCCATACAATTAGTTGGATTTATGCTTTGATAAACAAAGAAGGTAAACATGTCTTGCCTGGACAATGTTTTCAAGTCCATGGCTTTCCAAAGGTAGGCTTTCTTTCATTGCTGAACAGGATTTGTTTTTCATTTACTTGGGAAACTAACCCATCCCACTCCCCCACTTTTTAATTTGCTTCAAATAGGACACCTACAAGTGTGCACTAAATTCTGCCACACAGCCTATCACACACAGCACAAAAAGCAGGACATTTATAAGATCCTTCCTGCAGGCACAGAACAGATGTAAGATGGGATGTTTTGCAGCAGATCTGTGCTAGTATTTCCCTCGTCTTTATGGAAGGTGCCATAAAAGGGAAAAAAATACAACAATAAACAAATGAGAAACAAGCAATTGGTCATTGTTCTCAGCCATTGGAAGATAATAACAATAACAAACACATTTACCCAGTGATTTTCCCAGTTTCCCATGATAACAGCAGGTCCAAAAGATCGGGCAGGGTTCATGCTGGCACCAGTGTAATTGATCTATTGGAAAAATGAAATCAACTTCAGGCATTATTAAAATAGGATTACTACTAGCATCATTCACTGCCACTTGATACCATTAGCCAGCCCATTTGGAGATTTTTAGTTATTGGTAGGTATATCAACATTCTTTATGACAGAATTAACAAAATTATCCCTCAAACTGAAGAAACAGTAAGTTAAATGCTAAACAAGTATGGCCATTAAACACATCTTCAGCCTAGTTCTAAGGAAAAGAAAAGAGAAATGAATCAATTATTTAAATAGAGTTGGAAACTTACAGCAAATAAATGTCCAATTGCAACGGAAAATCCAATTGCTAAAGGTATTGAACCAGTGACATCAGTTCGCTTTGAATCACAGCTGGCAAAGATAGTAAACACCAACTGAAATGTGATTATCAACTCCACTAGGAGCCCATGACCAGCTGTGAGATTTCCATGGACCTAAAAAGAGAAAAATAATGCCTTCTTAGTAGAAGTATGCATCTTCTACAACAATATATTAATACAAAAGGCATATTTCATCAGGGTTAAAGGTGGTGGTTATATTCAAGATATTTTTTTTTAATTGTGAGGAAAAAAACCCAGACTACGTTTCTATTCATTTTGGCAATTAGAGGCAATTTCACAATGACCAAATGGAACTCAAATTGAATGCCCAGTCCTACAAAGGAAGTCAATTTTATAGGTGCTGAACTTAAACTTGTAAACCATTTTTAAGGGCATTGTAATTTCATAATGCGATTAGAAATTCATTAATTAGGTTTAAATTAATTAATTTGTATTTCAATTAAATTTTAAGCAGTGTGAGGCTCTACTGGATTTTTAATCAGCTGTGGTGCTGAGCTAACAAATGATATTCCTTATCAGCTTAGAACAAAGCTGGGATGTAAACATGAATATTTTTTGTAAAAGAAACAGTATTCTAATGGAAATGAAAATAAATTATTCTCACGAATTTCTTCCTCCAACCCCCATCTAAAGAATATATGTTAAGAAACAAGTCATAACCAAAATCTATAGTCAGTAGAGAAAATTGGGATGGTAAAGATAGAGGGAAAAATGCTAGCTTTTGATACTTCTGAACTCAGCAGTATTTTAAATTACTTAATAGCCCCCAAAGATTTCATATTGATACTGCCAGTTTTCCAGAATACTTTCTCGCCCATGCTAATAATTATCTAGGTTCCCCAATGAATAAGATGTTCTCTGGGACTAAATTAACCACTTTGGGGAAGCTATTTCAGGCTGCTAAGGGTTTATTTAGCAGAGTCAACAACATCAACTTCATTGTCTTGGTTTAAAAGTAAGAGTGAAAGTTGTTACCGTGGTAACTCCTAAGCCTCCCACCACACTGGGAGGTGTGACAAGGTAGAGGATCCCTGCCCCGATGATAGCACCTAGGCATTGAGCAGCAATGTAGAAGACAGATTTAGCAAGGCTGATCTTCCTTGTGCAGACCATAGCCACAGTCACAGCAGGATTGATATGGCCTCCACTAATGTGTCCAAAGCACTGGACCATGGTTGCAATGCTGAGTCCAAAACAGAGGGAGATAAGGACCATGTCTACTGGTAAAGGCTTCTCTGTTCCACCCCAGTTGATGGTGGAACCCAAACTGAGGAGTACAAAAATAAGCATTGCCAAAAACTCAGCTGCCACAGCTTTCCAGAAAGGCTGAGTCCAAACTCCTTTGAATGCCACCATGATGCTCTCACGTTTACACAGAGGTCCACACTTACTGAAAAAGAGGAAAATAAGCCTGAATCAGAAGCCACTAAGTCAGCCTGTGTGTTACTGGAAGGTTTTATGACTATAATTGGCAGGTTCTCCAGTGATGCTGAGTGTGGTAGGGAGGAGTTAGTAAAGGCTATTTGCATACCAATAAAAAAAATCCTGGTAATATTGGAGAAAATCTCTTTAATTTTTAAGTTGATCTCCTAGGCTACTAGATGTCATGTTTACTTAGATTTGCATACATATATGTGTATCAGTAACAATCATCACATTTTAAAAGGAAATTTTTTAAATTGAGCCCTGAAAGGAAGGTGCTTAATGAAATTCTTTGAAATACATATTGAAATTGATTTATTCTATTGACTATCCATCAGATCGAGTTTTATTTTCCCTGTCTTAAGGCCATAGACACTTGTGGACACAAAGCAGAAAGTCTTTTCCAGCTATTTTTTTTTCCATTGTTTCCTCGAAAAGATTCTGAAAATGGGCTCAGAGGTCATTCTTTTTCCCCTCTCTAGGGACCCCGGATTAAGACGAAGCCTGCTAGGAAGGCAGAAATTCGAGACCCCTGTCTCTTGCTGCAGAAACACCCCAGCAGGCAAATTAGGAGGGAAAACAAATCACAAAGTGAGCGTTCTCTCAGTTTGCAGCGCTGTGAACAGAATCAGACTGAGCTTCAGACAAGCCATTCCCTCTCCCTCTCTCTAAACCTGGAGCAGAATTTCAGTAAATTGAAGGCAGGAGGAATTCGCTAATTGGTTGCCAACCCACGAGTCACAAAGAGTGTCTTAGTGAAGCCAGATCTGAAAGAAGAGTTCCGTGAAGTATCATCTCCGGAACAAAGCACAGGGGGTGCAGAGTGGAGCACTTGGAGAGAGAGCCTCTCCGGATTGGTAGGAAAGCAGCCTATTCCCCCCCCCCCCCCCAAGGAGCCACCAGGAGCCCAGGCAGAGTCCAAAGCTCTGAATAAATAGAAGTGGTTTTTCAGGACCGAGACAACTAACACACCAGAGCACAACTAGGGGGTTGAGAGGAAGGGACAATGCCATCCTTGGTGTTTCTCCCCATGCCACTCCTCTCTTTGGGGTTGGAGGAGTCTGGGGTAGGTAAGGGTTGCCGGTCAATGACCTTGAGTGGGTGCAGGGCGCATTTTAGGGTGAATTTCGCCCTGGAATTTTTATTTCTTGCACTACAGAGGGGCCATTCAAAGGGCTTCTTCCCGCCCCATGCTCAGCCCTTTCTATTACCCTGAGTTTATGCAAGGATGAAATGATCCACTTGGAGGTCCGCGCCCGCTGGCCCTCAGTGACCCCTCTCTTACTTGCGGGGAGGAGGGAGAAGCAGCCAATAGGTTGACACCTGAGCTAGGCCAAGGGGAGCTGCCTCTGAGGAACAGGGGCAGGAGGAAGGGGGGCTCTTTGGAAGGGGGCGTGGCGCTAAGGGCTCCGGGAAGCTGCGTTGCAGGGTGGGGTGGAGGTGAGGGCGTAGGGAGCAATTAGCAGCAGCTTTCCCTTGCTACCTCCTATTCAGCTCCTGCTTGCCTGACCAGGAGCACTGACTGGATGGAGCCTTGTCCTTCCATCTTTCCCTTTTCCAGTCCCTTTTGCGTAAGGGAAGGCAGGATGAAATTGCCATCTTCCCTATAGGCTCACATGTCCCAAGAACTTAATGCAGGACTTTTTCACCAACGGCCCTAGAGATACATAGAAATACAAAAATATAACTGAGTGTGTGACTGACCCTGGGGCAATGCTCCCAAATGGTCTGGTGTGGTCATGGGCTGCACCCCACAATTGCCCTAGGGACATCTATACAGGCTTTAGCCCTTGTGGGTAAAGTCTTCTGAAAAAAGAGGGCCAAAATCATTGAGTAGATAATGCAAAGGCAACCTCAGAGTGGGAGAGAGACATTTCCCTGGGGACAGGTCTGTAGTGCTGCTCAATGGTTCTCACCACTAAGAACAAAGTTGAGATTGAGGCAAGACAGCTAAGTTAGCACTTTTGCAGGACAGAATTACTTCTTAAGCAGAGTCCATCCACCAATGCATTCCTTAGCAATCAGGTCATCCTCTCCCTACCCAACCTAGCCCTCACATCCCATAACCTATTTTCTGTTCTGGGGCTCTAAAGAGGAAACTGCCTTTGACATTTTAGGATCCACTTCACAGCTTAGTTTTTGGATTGAGTTGATGTTTTGAGGTCAGAGGTAGGAAAGTAAAAAAACACTGGCCTCCTGTCACAAGATAAAGGAGGAGTTACTGGAAGAGAAACAGCAGGGGGTACCCCAAACTTTTCTTGCTTAGCTGAACTTGTCTAAGTGACATATGTAATTATACATGACCCTAACTGGGAAATGAATGACTTGTAACAACCCTGTAAACTAGCATCTATAGAAGCAAATAGCAGCTTTATGATATTAAGCAAGCAAACAAGCAAATAACAAAAAAAAAAAAAGGTTTTTTAAAGTACCCCTATAGAAGCCAAGGGAAGGGGTAGGGAGAGAAGTAGAAAAGCCTAACTCACCAACCAAAAACAGTGGATAAGCTTTGCCCTGGACTTACCAGTGGGCAAAGGCCCTAGTGATGATGGTAAAGGGGGATGCTATCGGCGCTGTTGGTCTTTAACTTTTCACGGAGGAAGGAGAGAGACAAAGTCAGAAGTTAGAAAAGAGTTAGAAAAAGGAGGGAGAAAAGAAGAGAAGTCAGGGAAGCAGGGTGAGCAGGAAGTTTGGTTTTTTTTCCCTTTTAGCTAAGCAAAAGAAAAGGATCTCATGAGAAAACACAAGAGGGAGGAGGTGCCTAAAGAAAAGGCCCACCTCCCTGGCCAAACCTCAGTGGATCTCTCCCTCCCCCAATTCCCCAGGTTCCCTCGCTTCCTTCTCTTTCCTACCACCTGCCTGCCTCCCCAGAGACCTAGTCCAAGAAACTTTGTTGTTTCTTATATTTTTGATCTGTGCCAGCTACAGAAACCCACAAACAAATGAACATCTTTTTAACTATTATTTTTTTTAGACTTTCCTCTGAAACCTACTAGGATTTGTCTTACTCCAGGGCTGAGCTTCTTTTCCTTGTGAACCCCAACATCACTAAGCAGAGTACGTCTCTAGTGTAACAAGTGTTCATACCAGCTATCCTTCTAGTTCCTCTTTATTGCCCCCCAGTTCCCTTAAATGCTCCCACTCTTTGGAAATGCACCAACACAATTTGTTTTGCTTCTTTTGCTCTAGAACAAAGCAGGGTTTGTTGATGTGAACGGGTTTTACTGAGTTGTGCACGTTACTTTCTAACTAAGCACCAAGCTTGTTTATCTAGTCCAATCCATTTTGGGGCAACTAACACCTGGGTGAGTAATTTTTCTGAGCAAAGATATTGCTGATAGGTTTGCCTCTATAGGGTACTTTCTCTGTATTTCCACAGGTCCATTCCCTAATTGTGATTTACTTAAAAGCATCTTCAGCTCTCTCTCCTGTTCTCTGTACCTCTCTAATAAATACTTTCGGCAGCCGGATCTAAAAGAACTACCCACATACTAAGGAGGTACCCTCCAGATTCTACCTGAGATTTCATGTATTTGTATTAAAACACAAGAGCCCTCAGCTTGGCAGCCTTTTACATTGTGTTCCCTTAAGGAAAACAAGGTACTTACCCCCAACGCCTTGATGCTGGTCTGTCACTCATTCCTTCCTTGGATAGAGTGCACGGAAGGCAGCCCTCTAATAGCTCAGACTACAGCACTGAGTGCACTCGGAGTCAGATTACTGCAACTTGTCTGATTGGGTTTTTGGAGTGTAGGGGTGGAAAGATTTTGAACCATGTGGCAATCACTAAGCTATATTTGAACTTGAAATAACTTTTCCTTACCTGATCACTAAAGACTCAGAGCATTTCAGGAATGGGAAGCATGCACACATCTACATATATTTGCATATGTATATATATATATTTATGCACATATACATAATCTTTCATTTGGTCATTTTTATTTTTTAAAGGAAGCACATATCTACTTTATAATATTCTTTGGGTTGGTCATTTTTATTTTTTAAAGGGAATTTCTTTAGCTCTATAATCTGTATTCTCTTAACCTAAGGAATTGCCTTACTTGCTGTATATCATAGTTGAAATGGGGTTAAAAAGTGGCAAACAGATCTTACTCATGCGGTAATTAATTTTTAATATTTTTGAGTTAATGAAGAGTATCTAGTAATTTGTATTTTCTACTTTCAATTTTTCTCCATTGGAGAAGTTGCAATTTATAGCTATATTAGCTCCATTTTTAAGATATGTAAAATTTGGACAGTTTACTAGGAAATAAGGCTATTTCAAAGTAAAAAAAAATGGTACCATTCATATTGTACCTTATGATTTATAAAGCTCTTTCTCCACAAAATTCTTCTCTACAATGACCACAGGAGAAAGGTACCATTATCCTTCCTGTTTAGATGAGTATACTGAGACTCAGGTTAAATGACTTGTCCAAGATTATATGGCTAGTAAGTACAGAACCCGGGAGACCAGCCCAAGTCTTGACTCCAGCCTAGCCCAGCACTTATTTTATGATGTCATGCTGTATTTCTTATGTATATCTCTTTCTGAGAGGAGCATTGTATAAGAAATAGCAAATTTAAGAAGCTTGGGGATGGAATGAGGAATGAACCCTAAAGACATTTAATGCCCAGGAACATAGGGGGCTTTGGGAATTGTGTACAAGATAACATTAAGACTCAGATCACTCTGTAACCATCACATTAAAGACAGAATTATTTTTAGAGTTGAGTGTGCTCATATGAAAAAAAGAACTACAGAGGAAGAAATTCTGAGGAGAGAGAGAAAAAAGACGCATTAAAAATGATTTGTTCTCCTTCTCCCACCGGGGTATCTGAAAGATGGAGATGGATAGAAAATTGTTTACCAGAAGAGAATTTGACATTTTGAATATATTTTTTAAAAAAGCTTACTGTTTCATTCATCTATCTAACCACCTTTTGAAGGGACCTACTATGTATATAGCAGAAACTGAATGTTATTTGGCTTTTGCTGTATTCTATTGTAAAGCTTGGGCATCTAGGTGGCACAGTAGATAGACTACCCGGTCTAGAATCAGGAAGACTCATTTTCCTGAGTTCAAACTGGCCTCAGGTATCAGCTGTACCACCTGGGGTAAGTCACTTAACCCTATTTGCCTCAGTTTCCTCACTTGTAAAAATGAGCTAATGAAGGAAATGGCAAACCATTCCAGGTTCTTTGACAAGAAAGCACCTAATGGTGTCACAAAGGGTCATACACACTGTAAAGTTTGGACTTTCCTTAATAATGTGCTTGGAGGTCTGAATGAATGAAAATGAGAGGAAGGAGTTGAAGTCAAACCTATGTAGAATATATAGAGGGTTTTCTGAAATTCCACATTGGCTTTTAAAACTGATTACCATACACACTTGACAAAGAGTTAAAAATAGGAACAACCTTCTCCTAAACTGTAATATGCTGCTTTTTGTTGTTCGGTCTTTTCAGTCGTGTCCAACTTTTTGTAACCCCATCTGGGGTTTTCTTGGCAAAGGTACTGGAGTGGTTTGCCTTTTCCAGCTCATTTTATGGAAGAAGAAACTGAGGTTTAGTGACTTGCAAACAGGGTTAAGTGACTTGCCCAGGGTCACACAGCTAGTCAGTGTCTGAGGCTGGATTTGAACTTAGGAAGATGAGTCTTCCTGACTCCAGGCCCAGCCTTTGTCCACTGTACCACCTAGCTGCCCAATGGTGTTTCTGGACAGATATATTAAATTGATTACATCTGACCTTAAGGAAATTGACTAAGGGATTGTAAACCTATTGAAACAATATTTTAGCATTTTGATTTCTCTTTGTTAAAGATTCTCTAGCTCCCACCCTCCCCCAATCATGCTCAAGACTGATCTATACACAACAGTCTCACCCCATCAGGGTTTTTTTTTTTTTTTGATTATTTTCTAGGCACATATTTTTTTCAGGTCTGCTCTTCACAAGCTGCCAGCCACTGTGTTTCATTAGCACTCACTGTACTGCCTTGGCAGTTCACATTCTTATTTTTCAAATTGCCAGCAAAACTTGGTTACCACAGTTTCTCAAAACCTTTTCCTTTTCTTCTCGCTAGATGTTTACTGCCCTAGTAAAATGGGTTGGCAGTCCAGGGATGGTTGTTCTCATCACAGAAAGTGCTACCCTAATTGGCACTAGCTGGCACACTTATTAGTAGTCTTCAAAGATAGGCCAGAGACTTAATAGAGATTTACCCTTCGCATGCCAGAGTTTGATAATTTTTCAGCAGATGTAATTTATTTATTTATTTTGGTTTTGATTCAGAATCGGTAGGATATGTGCTATGTACCCTCCCAATGCTGGTGATGGATTTGTGATGATCTAGCCACACTCTCTTGCCTGGTTCTCTTCTGATCAGTATCAGGCACTTAGGTCAGCTATCATGGGATAGAGCAAAAGAAACCAGGCAATATTTTATGGTTAGGTGCTGGTGGATAAAAAAGAGATACAAGCAATAACTTTTGGGTTCTGTGGATTCTATGGATGTCAAGATCCAGATAGGCTTTGGAGAGCAAGTTTCTGCCAACAGTGCCTTTAGCAAGAACTAAATCCATGTTTAAAAATGAAAGAAATCAAATTTTATTGGCTTCCTTGATTTATGATATTATAAATCTGAGGAGTTTTATTTGCCACTCACTTGTCATCAATCTCATTGGTCAGCCAACTTTGTTAATTATTAGTTCAATCAACTTGTGAACTAGTAGCTCGATATTATTGTCCCCATTTTACATATAAGGAAACTGAAGCCAGGATAATTGGAAGTATCAAGGGCAGCCAGAAGACCAGCAGCAGCTGTGATTTTGCGTATGTCGTTTGCTACTAAATTGTCAGTCCACCAAACCGCACTGCCTTCCTCCCTTAGATCCTGATTTAGCTTGATCCTCTTCCTACATCCCTCGGCCAGTTCTTTTAGGACTCCCTCATATCTTCGAATATGAAAGATAATAAACAAAAGAACCAAGATTTTTTTTTTTTGCTACGTATCAGTCACCAGGAGAAAAAAGTGTCTGCAGGCTGCTGGGGGCAGAATGTCTGTTGTGACTCATAAATCTTGTTTTGCTTTTCATGAATCTGAGTGTCACTGAATTCCTGCTAGAGCACTTATGTATTAGCGCATGCTTAAAATATGCCAGCTTCCAAACAGAGCTTTGTTGTCCTTTAAAGGAGGAATTATTATATTTTAACAATCTGGTACAATATCCAGAAATATAGTCAACCACTGAATAAGTAAAATAATAATAACAATGGCCCACATTTATATAGTGCTTAAAGTTTACAAAGGGCTTCATAGTCATCATTTTGTTTGATCTTCATAACAATCGTAGGAGGTAAATAAAGCAGGTAATATTATCTCTACCTTGCAGATAGAAATAATGAGGCTCGGGCTGTTGTGACTTATCCAAGATCTTCCCTTAAGGCTGTTGGCTTCTTGAGAGGAGGGACTGTCTTTCGCCTTTCTTTGTTATCTGCGGCACTTAGCACAGTGCCTGGCACAGAGTAGGTGCTTAATACATTTTTATTGGTTGATTGATCCAATGTTTATTGATTGACCGACATGAAGTCTGCATTCAAACTGAGATGTTCTTACTCTAATTCCTTTGCTCGTTCTATGACAAAAGTGGCCAT